GAGCAGGGAAGGGCAGCCTGGAGCGGGCAGCCCGCCCGGCTGCAGCCCGCACTCACCGGTCCGCGATCTCGCTGCCGGCGCCGGGGCTGCGCTCGGAGCTCCATGGTCCAGCCGCTCCGCTGCGCCCGACGCCCCCGCCCCGCACCACACCGCACGCAGCGGCGCGAGCGACGCCGCCTCCGGCCCGGCCACAGCCGCGGCCACGCCCCCTCCCTGCGGGGGGCCCGGCCGGAGTAGGAGGGGGCTCAAAGCCAGCTCCCCCAACCAGAGCCCATTCACAGCGCTGCTCCACCAGGATTGGCGGGCACCCCGGCCAATGGAGAGCCAGCAGGCCCGCGGAGCGTCTGCGCCGGGGGGCGGGGGATTGCGGAGGAGGAGGCTCTGGTCCTTCATCCTCCGCCTCCGCTTGGGTAGGAGGATTTGGCTGGAGTCCTTTTCCGGGGGGCCAGATAGGGTTACTTTGGGCCGAGTTCATCCTTGTAGCCTCTCTGGTTGCTAAGCACCCACTACAGTCGCCCTGAGTTTTCACCTATATCTTCATCTTACCTGGGTGTTGAGGGCTCCTAGGATCAGAGGTCTCTGTGTACCTCGGTTTTGAGGTTTCAGTCTCCCCTTAGATGACTGTGGCCCTGTGATCAGTTGGTTTCACGTCCTGCACAAATCTGTATTCAGACCCTTCTCATCTTCTTCCCTTCTTCCCTTTTGTAGACCCTTCTTCCCTTTTGTACCCACCCGATCTCCAATTTCTGCCCAACCCAAATGTGAGAAAGGCCACATTCCCTGTGAAATATAGGCTATTGCTGAGCCTCCCAACCTAAGCCCTGTCATCCTGAACAGAGCCAGGTGGTGTCCGAAGAATGAAGTGAAAACAGACCTAAGAAGGGAGCAGGAAAGGAAAAGAAAGAAAAGCCAAGTATGTTCACCCAGGTCCTGTAGGAAATGAGTTTAAAACGTACAAAAGAAATATGGCTTATTTACATGCCTTAAAAAATTACAAATGGAATCACAAGAGGGTAAAACATTTAGAGGGGAAAAATTTCAAATCCCAATAAAGAGCCCAAGAAAAACAAATTTAGCTGGCTTGATCTTTTCTTTACAGACACCTGAAAACAATCCACAACCTTCCAGCTATCAACATCAACTAAAAGCAAGGGCAAAATGCAGAGCAGTGTATAAGGATTTCAGTAAAGGTTGCAGGACCAGAAAGATGATACAAAAAATCATGCACCCATCTTCGTAAAATGTTTAATCCATTAATCTACATTACTTTCAAAGGAAGCATTTTTAAAGCTCTCTTTTAAAATGATATATACTGCTTCTATATCGTGCTTACTTGATATATACTGGTAATTAATAAGGTAAACAAAACTGTCATGAATAATTACAATGTCCCAGTATTTGAAATATTGATACTAGAGTAGTAAAGTTTCTGCTGAATTCAAAGCTGAATTGACATTTAAATTAAAACGACTTTCCTTCTTTTCATCTTCACTCACCCAAAGGAATAGCTGCCATGTCTATATTTAGGTCATTGATTTAGAACTCAAAAATATGAAGGCATGAGATACCTGGGGTGTGTTCAGAGTTGCCAATCACATTTCCCTGGCTCTTCCTCTTCCTCTCTTCAGTAACCTGGGCTTGGCATGGGCTACTCATCCGTTCCTAAATGGTTCAGGTTTGTTTCATACAGTATCTCCTAAATAGATCATCAGTCCTGTGAGGGTCAGACCCCCACTTTATATTCCCCTTTCCTCCATGCATAATGCCTAGCACAGTAAATATACCTCCACTCTTAGTATTGTGTCCATAATATAATAAAATTATTTTAAATGCACTGCATTTGTGAACTAATTTAAATACAGATTGCTCCACCACTAATAGGTGTTCTACCCTTACTTTTTTTTCAAAGTTTTATTGATAAACAGATAGCAATGAGACAGTTTCAAATCAAATCGGAAGTACAGTTTCAACAAATAATACACTGCATATATTCTTCTTAGTGGTTAATTGCTGTACAAGACGCAGACTTGTGATCCTATTTACAAACACCATTAGAACAAATCATTCTATTCATTAAGAGAATGCAACTATATATCTATCCTAACCACTTTGAATACACAGATACAAAATGGACATTCATAGGTATACCCCATTTTTTTCTAAGTTCCGTTATTGAATATTATAGGTGTGTAAACTCAGCAAAATATTCCAAAAAAGTCCAGTAGCCCATAATAGCATTGGGTCTTCTGTTTAACTGGCAATGTCAGAAATTATTGACCTGAGTCCCCCACAGCTCAACTTAACAGCATGGCTTTATTTCCTATATTTCGTCTTCATACTTTTCTACTGGATGGTTAAGATCAAGGTAAAGCAAGACCTATGCAACAAGAGTTGTAGCTTTTTGGTCGGAGAAGGTCAGTGAAATGTCCTCAGGATTTATCCTGAGATCCTGTACCTCAGATTGTAGAACCTTTATCAGTGCAGCCATGTGGATGAGTCATGGCCATTGCTTGGCCAATGTGCTCTCTGTGAAAGCCTGAGATGTCTTCTCCCCATGTGACTCTCCTTAGGCACACTCTACGTCATCGATCACTTTCCTCTTTGGCCCCATAATCTTCTTGATCAGAAAATTTGGGACACTACCGAGGTACATGACATTACAGTACAAGTTCTCATATGTCCTGAGTCTTAATTGACCTTAGAAGACTAGGGCCAAAATGTTGGCTTTCCTTGTAGCCCTCCTTTTTCTCTAATTTTCTACTCTTACTTTTTGAAAAATGTTGCTGAATCAGGGAGTGAATTGGGTGCTTGTCACAGAAACTTGACTAATGTGATTACCAGTAGAAGCACACCTACCACAGAACAGGAAGTCTGCAATGCTAAGGCTTGTGCAGCACCTCCACGGTGTCATGCATCTTAGGCTCCTTTTAGCCATTGGCTATGATGTCCCCATTGTGTGACTTTGGCTTGCATTCTCAAAAACTAGCTCCCCCTTTTCTTGGCATTGAAGCACATGGAAAATAGTAGGGGGGACAGGGGAAAGGCAGACTCTCAAAACAGTGCATGCCACTTGAGGATATCACTTTCAACCAGCTTTCCATGGAGCCCCCATTAGCACTTCACATTTTGCTTTGGATTAGTCAGACCCATGTCGAATAATCACTTCTATCTGCAAAGGAGTCAGAAGTACTAAGTACTTTCAGCTGGAAAAATGTCAGAGTTGTTAGCAAGAGAGAAGAGGAATGTACAAACTTGGTGTAATAGCAGCGGTACCTGCCATTGCTACTAAATGAATGAATTCATCATTCAGCCTTCATTCTACTTATTCATGAAAAAAACCACTTTAATAAAAGGCTACTGAAATCTCTGTAAGAAAACAAGCCACCCAATTGTAAAATAAGCAGATTTGAATAGATGCTTCATCAAAGTGGAGTTGGCGATACGCAGATGGCAAGCAAGCATATGCTCTACAGCATATGTCATTAGGAAATTAAAGTAAAACAATAACCAAGTATCATAGGATTTAAAATGACTAACATGCAAAAATAACAACATCAATTGCTAGTGAGCATGTAGAGCAACAGGAATGCTCATTCATTGCTGCTGGGCATGCAAAATGGAACAATCACCGTGGAAGACAGCTTGATGATTTTGTACACATTTAAGCACAGTGTTTGGGCTGGAGAGGTAGCTCAGGGGCACAGAACCTGCCTAGAAAGCATGAGGGCCTGAGTTCAATTCCTCATTAAAAAAAGAAAAAAAAAAGCCGGCCTGATAGCCCAGAGGACTAAAGTGCCTGCTTTGGCAGAGTGCAGTGGTATGAGTTTGATCTCTGGTGTGCCATGCCAGCCCCACCCACAGGCAACTGAGACTGGGCATGGTGGCGCACGCCTGTAATCCCAGCACTTGGGAGGCTGGAAACAGGAGAATCACTATGAGTCTGATCTACATAGTGAGATCCTGGAAACCCTTTAGACCCTGTCCTAAATACAGAAGAAAAAAACAACGCAGTTTTACCATAGGATCCAGTAATCACAGTTCTAAGAATGAACCCAGTTAAATTTAAAGTACATCCACACAAAAACTTAACAACTGAGTGGTTATTCACACTCAACAAATACTGAAAGAAGTTAAGATAACCTTTAACAGATGAACAGATAAACAAATTGTGGTGGATACTCTACTCACCATGGAATATTTTTCAGCAATGAAAAAGAAATGAGTTATCAAGCCATGGAAGAACCTTATATTCTTTTGCTTAAATAAGAGAAGCCAGTTTTAAAAGGTTACGTATTGCATGACTCCACATATACGACCTGAGGCTGGCCAGATAGCTCAGCGGACTAAAGCACCTGCTTAGGCAAGCACTAGGGATCCTGGGTTCGATCCCCATGCCCTGCCAGCCCTACCCCTGGGACACACTGAGAGGGCAAATGAGACTGGGTGTGATGGTGCATACCTGTAATCCCAGTGCTTGGAAAGCTGAAAGCAGGAGGATAACTACTATAAGTCTGATCTGTGCAGTAAGACCCCATAGACCCTGTACTAAATACATTTTTTTAAAAAAAGCCAAATATATGACCTGCTAGAAATAGAAAAAATATGAAAATGATAAAATAGTTCTTGCCAGGTGAAGAGTAGGGAGTGAGGAACAGGTAGAACTCAGGACTTTTGGGGGGGTAGTACAGCTACTCTGTGGGATGTTATAATGGTGGATATACATCATTTGTCAAAACCTATTGAATGGATTGAATTATAATGAATTGTAAACTGCAGATTTTAATTAATAAAAGTCATCAGTATTGGTTCATTAATTGTAAAGATTTGCCACACTAAACACAAGATTTTGTAACACGAGAAACTAAAGGAAGAGAGTGAGTATATGGTATAGGTAGTATTTAATAATTTATTCTGTAAGTCCAAAACTACTGAGAAATAGAATGAGCTAATGACATTTATAAAATCAAGATGATAAGAACCATAGTGAACATAATATTCTCTCTCTCTCTCTCTCTCTCTCTCTCTCTCTCTCTCTCTCTCCTCTCGATACTGGGTATTGCAATCCGGGGCATTCATACTGAGCTGCATTGCCAACTCTCTTTTTAAATTTTATTTTGAGACAGAGTGTCGTCTATATTCCCAGGCTAGGCTTGAACTTGCCATCCTCCTGCCTCAGCCTCCAC